ACTTTTAAACAGGTAAGTATTTTTTTCTTATTATTTTGTATTCATTTATTTTTTTATTTGCATTTGTTTTGAACGTTGACATTTTAAAAACTCTGAAAAAATCTGACCTAAATCACCAAACAATGTTTGTGTCAAAACTGGTTTGTTCAACACATCCAGGAGCATTATATCTATTAAATATCACTTTAACATTATAAAATTATATTTTCTGAAGGAAATACAAGAGCTTGGTAGGCAATAAAAGAGCAGCGAAGAGTTCTATGTTGCAGGTGTAAATTGAACACTGCAAGAAACGTTTTCTGTCTGCGAGCCACAAGAATACATTTGTTGTCAACAGTTTGATGTAATCAGTACACTTTTTAAAACTGAATGAACTAAATATGTTACCATATTTTTGTTTAGTGTCATTTAATGTATGTTATATGATGCATATGCATTAATCTTAAAATCAAGAATAAATTAAAATCACAAATAATTGTTTTGTTTTTTATTAAAAAGGGAACACAGAAACATAAACGAATAAACATTTTTGGAAATCCAACATTGTAGTTAAACATAATATGGAGCAATTCAAGATATTATGCATGCTAAATCTAAGAAATATGGAAAAATATCAAATCCAGTCACTATGAACCTCTTACATCATGAATATCTAGTTCTGCTATTGACCCAAATCCTTCACCCAATATGTAAATGTCCACCTCAGTATATTGAAATATGCTTTATCAAGCATGTTGCAGTTAAGAGACTGACAAAGGAGCTGCACAACTCTGAAATATATTATTTGGAAATCAATAACTCATATTAATCACACTTGTACATAATGTATCAGTGTTTGTGTCGAGTCTTCAGGTTGTTTGAGACCCATAAGAAGCTGCTGTAGATCTGTATCTTCAGGTCGTTGTGGGTGTTTCTTACTTCCATCCGCAAAAGCCTTTAATAGCCCTAATAATGCTATGAAGAAAAAAATCTTAACACATTAAGAACAACTTAACCAATGTACCAGAAAATTCAATTATGTTCCTATTTTACAGACGCTACGGTCATGCTACTGTACATTGAATTGTAATAAGTCAGAATCCAACTCACCAAACATCCCAAAGACCAGAACAACACTGATCAGACCAAACACCAGAGTAACAGTCTGAATGGGGATGAAATCTATTACACAGAATGACAATTATTGGTAAATAAAATCTAAATAATATGATGACAATGATCAATTAATCTAATGAAATACTATATAAAAAATACATATGTGGGTAATATACTGTATATATATATTTGAATAGCAATAAAAAAAAATGTATCATCAAAAACCAGGCAGCTGAAAGAAGATCAGCTCAGTGTATAACACTAGTATTATCTCTGATGTACCTGCACACGGCTGACAGAGTTGGCTGATGTCCAGATGTTTGGTCTGGTTGCTGATGTTGTTGTTCAGCACACAGCTGTAGGTGTTTTTATCCTGATGTTCCACCTCCAGAGGTAAAGAGAGACTGATGCTGAGATCAGACGCACGGATGCTGGAGATTAAACTGTTTCCTTTGTACCAGGAGAGAGTCACATGACTCACATTCAGCACTGAACACAGCAGTGAACATTTAGACACTGATGAACTTCCAGACGATGAAGAACATTGTGAAGTGTCTCTGATGATGAGGGGAACGGGAAGAAGAGCTGGAAAATATCAGAGGATGAAGAGAAATCAGAGTCAACATACACAGGGGACAGTACTAATAAATCACTTTTTTCCTTGAATTTCATTCACTTCAATATACATTGATCATTTGTGATAAAGATTTATGGTCAAAACACAGTTCTGGAGAGAAAAAAATTCTGCTGCTGTACTCACCACAGACAGTAACATTGAATATTTTCTCTGCTTCTGGATTTGTGGTGATCTCTACTTTATAAAGTCCAGAGTCTGTGGTTCTGATGTTTGTGATGGTGAGAGATCCAGTCTGACTGTCCATCTTCACTCTGTCTCTGAATCTCTCATCAGTAATATGATTGATATTTGCTCTGTTGATTTCAGCAATGACAGTATCTGGGTTTTCAGGTCCAAACATCCACTCTATCACTGCATCATTTCTCTGTGTGTCAGTATCAGTGTGTAGAGTGACTGAATCTCCCTCCATCACTGACAAACTCTTCATTTCACCTGCTTCAACACCAAACACTCCTGAAACACATTCATACACGAACATTACCCTTTTACTGTCTTTATTCCACTTTTTACCTAACTAAACAGTAAAACGTGAGTAGCATTTCAGACTGATTTGACATAGATGAGAAACACTTAAACTCTCTTCTATTATTAAAAAAGAAAAAGAAAAAAAAACGGTGGTTGACGTAACTCCTGCAAATTTACATACCACTATTTTTCTCTATATTGCAAGAACTGAATGAATAAAAAATATTTCAATACATACCACTGAAATGCCACAACCATAAACGAAGCAAAACTAAAGCGAGAACCATATTCTTCAGCAGTTTAACTTATGATACAATCACCTCAATAATCGCTCGAAACTCCTAGACAGGAGTGTACATCCTAGCGCGTGAACGCGCAGAGGCACATAGTTGTGGTTATTATTTTTTTATGTACACAGCCCTGTTATTATATCAGTAACAGAAAACAAATAAATTCTTCAGTGTTTATATTTATATATCTTACTGAGTGTAATATTCCTTAAGAGTTGAGGCGAGCGCTTTGGATTGTTGGCGAAAGCTGGTGTTTTAGCCTATGGGGAAAATATGTATACTGTTTTTAATTCTGTATTATTTTTAAATGTGAATCACTATATCTTTTCATTTTCTGTAGCATGCACTGATTCTATCAAATGTTAAACCCAGGTGTAACCAGGTTGTCCCTCAGTTAACAGCACATAATGACTTTTGACTTTCTCCTTGCAGGACTCAAACCAACAACCTTCCAGTTACCAGCTCTGAACTTTAGCCAAATTGACTATAATTGTTGATATTTTGACTTGAAATACAGTTTATGATGAAAAGGTCACCACATATAGCTTTGCACAAAATTTAAGCAGAATGGGTGTGAGACTGTGAGGTTCATACAGTTGGACAAGATATATTTTACTCACAAACTAATCAACCACACATACATTAATAGACACACTATTAGGAACAAGTACTATTTGTTCACCCAACAGAAAAAAGAAAAGGAAAAAATAAACACACACACACATTCATAGTTCATAGTTGACTTCTGTGCGTCACTGACCCAAATAAAGCTCAGACCACAACAGGTTTCTGTTTGACTCATAAACTAAGCTGGTCAGAGTGCATTCATATTTATAACAAAAAAATAGTGCACATGGGTTTTATATGTGAATGGTTTTTTGTTTGTTTGTTTTTTAAGAATTTTTATTTTTTTCGTTTAGTGTGTGTGTGTGTGTGTGTTTTGCATTTTAAGGAGGTTACACTGGAAATGTGACACACCAGGAAGTGGTTTCATCATCTTTTTGCTTCCACTTAGCTGGTTTGTGGCTCATTTATAAACCACCTCAATACTCATATTTTTTATTATTTATTATTGTTTCCTTGTAGCAGAGTCAGAGTACTGCATGCATATAACTAAATAAACCCTGCTTATTAACAGTTATGTAATAATCTAGAGATACTCAGTATGACAAAAAATAAATATTGCATATTTATGTTGAATGTGTCTTTATTTAATACACGAATTTCACAATTTGAGTTGAATTACTGAAATAAATGAACTTTTCCACGACATTCTAATTTATTGAGATGCACCTGTAGGCTCACCTCCAGTGATTACAGTCTACTGACCTCTAGTGTTGATGCAGAGGTTTTTATTTCATCTGCTGCTTCACTGGAATTATTTGTCTGCTCATCCTGTCTGCCAAGTAGAGGCGCTGCTGTGTCTTCACTAAAGAGAACGTATGTTCTGAAGGGACGATAAAAGGTCACTAGAGACAAGTACGGCATGCCCAGGAAAATTAGTAACTGTATGTTATTTTCAATGTTTTTCTTTCTTTTAATAAAGTTAACTATGAATGAATGTTACATTAAATAGAGCACAGAGCTAAAAGAGTTCAAATCAGAGCCAGAGTCCATTCAGCATGCATTTGTTTTTCAAATAAAACTGCTCAAACGCACAAGTTTTATTAAATACAGTCTTTGTATTTAATGGAGAAAACATAATGGAAATTTAACATAAAGTCATTGTCAAAAAGAATGAGAAATCTGATCCAACGCTTGCATTTTTAGACATTACTGGCTGATTTTTGAGACTTGTTGCTGAATTACAGCTACAGCAGCAGTGTGGTTTGAAAACTTAGCCTACAGGATATTCAGAACAACTTTTATTCTCAGTTGACAAATATTGCTAGTATTACTCTGCTTATCTCAGATCTAGACATTTGTGTGGCTGTCCCCACCTCCATATGTTCCTTTCTGCAAATTATCACACCTTTTTTAAGCATTCTGCAGAAGTGTGATGATATAAGGGGATTTCATGACACTTTCATTTTTAATAAGCCTTTTAATTAGCACTTTAAGTTAATAACATTAGCAGTCGCTGAAAGGCCTTCATTTGCTATAAAATATATAATGCATAATATATCATAGCATATCAAACACTCGGTGAGAAGACTGATACACAAATGTTAGCATCACAAAATATCAAACACGTCAATCACAGGAAGTCAGGTTTGCTCCGGCCACTTTTTTTACCAATCACATGAACTTCATAAGTGACTGACTGAAGATATTACATAACATAAATTTAAAGATTTACATTTATAGTATAACACAAAGGCAAAGAGAAAAACTCTTGCCTGGGTTAAAATGCAGACCACCTGTCTAGATGCAACACTTTTTCTGAAGCAAACCAAACCAAACCAAACCACAGTGCACATCCATCGTCTAAATGTGTGCTTGGACAACCACAAGAGTTTCAGTTTGTTCTTAAATGCTGTGAAATAAGTATGAGGTCAGCTGCATGCTTCTTTTTATGGTTTTGGCAGCTGCAAAGCAACATAAGTGCTGTTGACTGGACCAGGATGAATATTTGTATACAGCATGGAAGAGTCCTCTTCAGCATGCTGAAAGAACAATGAAGAAATTAGTTTTAGATAGATAGATAGATAGATAGATAGATAGATAATGTACCTGTGATTGGTTTGGATCTAGATGCTGTTGAATAACTTGTGTCGGCTGTAGGTCAGTGTTATGAAGTTGTTGTGAAAGTTCTGCAGGCCTTCTATTTCTACAAGCACAAACCTTCAATAGTCCTGAGAATTCAATAAAATAATAAGTGTTTATACAATCACAACACTTACAGCATTATGTTGATATTTTTGTAGATGGATCCCCTGTATTTTTATTTGGGAATGCACAATATATCGGTATCATATCGGTTATCAACTCTATCTCATGAGAAAACGTAACTATTTCACAGGGAGGATTTTGTATGAATCTGTATGATGTGATTCATATAGAAACTAATTTAATTAAAAAAAATTAAAATAAAAGATTTTTCAAAAGAGTAAGCATAAAGGTATTCTAAATCTAACCATCAGTGGGACATAAGCAAATTGTATGTATAAACATATGAATGGGAATATACAAATTCATACGAATTAGCCACCAACTTGTGAAAATTTGAAATAGTTACAAATTGCCTTAAGAGTGTGTTGGGTTATTGGCCGATATTATAGATTTTTTTGTTTATTATTATCGGCTGATAATTTATATTTGATGCTAATAAATTTAGCATTTCTTTATTTTGACATTTAGATTGCCTTTACCATCATCTAACATTCTTTTAATGTTTATGTTTTAAAACAATATATATATACACGTAGCAGTGCGATATGGCTATATATCAGCACAGCTGTGATTCAGCCGTAGGCCATAGTTAATTACAGCATGCTGATATACAGCCATATCTCACGGCTACTCGTGTGATATTGTGTTTATACAACAGTTCGATGGCACAAGTGTGTAAATACATAAAAAACAACAACGGAGTGTCTTTAAAAACTCTCTTTTGTGTGAACTACTTCCTTCCGCCACGGATTCAAATCTAAAGTTGACAGTTTAACAGCTGAGCCCAAGCCTCTGTTACTAATTCCAAAACGTCACTTTAGAACTAGTAACGAAGGAACATTGAGTTGCTTCATTTTTTACACGAATGAAAACTCACCTATGACAACAATGACTAAAACAGCATTTATCAGGCCAGATATGAGGGTAAGAGTCTGCCATGACGTCTGCTTCTGCTCAATGTACTTCATCGATGTATGATTCTGCTGAATATACTGCACTGCTGTATAATTCTGACACTCAGTTGGTGGAGCTGGTTCTGTAAGGAAGGAATAAAGTCACAATCGGTTAATAATCTCTAAAGAATCACTGTACTGAACGGCGTAATTAGCAATAGTGCACTTACCAATGATGTACAGTCTGGTGCCGTTGCTGAAATGTGGACTTCCATCTGGGCTCATACAGAAATAAACTCCTAACTCATCCGTAGTGACATTATTAATGAACAGATGTTTAGAGGTCACTGAATATTTTTGTTTGTAACTTGCATTATAGTAAAAAGGAATTGGGTTTGAGAATGAGCGTAATATCATAACTGAAGAAAATGGAAGTTTCAGTAAAAACCAATAAACCTCATTTGTAAGATCACAGTTTATGGTCACATTTTGCCCCAAATTTATTAGCTGATCTGTTAAAGTCTCTGCTGCTTGACACCATATAAGTAGACCTACAAGAAAAAAAATCAAAGATTCAGATTCATTCTTCACAAAAAAATTTTTACACAAACATTTTGTTGGCTGCTTTTCCTTTATTATCCAGTCCATTTGAAAACGATAAATTGGTCTACCTATTTTTTATATGTTTCTATGCAACATTAAAACTATCAGGAGAAATCTAGTGTGTCTAAACTTTTGACTGAAATAAAGTTCAGAAAGCACATTAAAAGCTGTAATACTCACAGAGATTTAGCTGCAAAATCCTCATGTTGTAGCTGCAAATAAAGCACTTGATATGAAACCGGGATCCCTCCCAGACAGCACTGAATGCTAGTACACAGCAAAGAGAGAAAAAATTCAACCACGCCAAGCACAGGAAGTCTGCTCTGATCCGTTTTTTTCACCTATCATCTACATTTCATGAGTAACTGGGTGGAGATATTGCATAATATAAATCTAAAGGGTTATATATGAAAATAAACATGGGGAGTGAGGGGAAAAAAACCCTGAATTGAGACAATCAAGACTTAATAAAATGTTGCAATTAATTTCTGAGCATCCAGTCCCTGATAGCACACATACATGCGAGTTTTCATCTGATGTGCAAATTGATAAAAAAAAAAAAACATTATACAGACACTTAATATTTAATGATTGTAGCATACCAGTTGAATGGTATGTGTGTTTAAGAGGGCGTGTTCAATAATTGGGTGTGTTAAAAATGCATGGATGTCTGACAGCTCTCCTGTGTGTTTAATCTCACTGCACGAACCCACGACATAACAATGATCATTAATTAATTACATTTGGTAGATTATACCTCCATTAATTAGGGTGGCCATATGCACCATTCATATGGGACACAACCCGGCCAGGATTTTAATATTGCCTAAAACATCAAAAGCAGTTTGACCAATAACATGCAGGTATTGTACATAATATCGGCCAATCGTGGGGATGCGCGTGAGAAGACGAGATCTACAGGGAACGATCAAAGCGATGCAAATATGCGCAAGTGTTTGTTTGTTCATTTGACTTGAAGCGTCGCTGTGCACCGATCAAAAAAGACACCAAAGCTCTGCTCTCTATAGCTCTCATGAATGTCACACAACGATCGACCTGCACAGTGCAATGTCCGCGGTTTGAAGCAACCCCAATAACGTGATATTTAGCCCCTAAAATGTGAATTTTACCAGGGGAACCTGCCAAAAAACGTTTATTTTATTTTATTTATCCAATTTTTATCGGGGGACCCACCTTGAAACACGATTGGGCTAGTTTTGAGTAGCAATTGGACGTTTTTTTGTTGTGAAAACCTGGGGAAGTCGTGGCCTAATGGTTAGAGAGTCGGACTCGTAACCCAAAGGTTGCGGCTTCGAATCTCGTACCTGCAGGGATTGTAGGTGGGGGGAGTGAATGTACAGCGCTCTCTCCCACCTTCAATACCACGACTGAGGTGCCCTTGAGCAAGGCACCGAACCCCCAACTGCTCCCCGGGCGCCGGAGCAAAAATGGCTGCCCACTGCTCCGGGTGTGTGTGTTCACTGCTGTGTGTGTGCACTTTGGATGGGATAAATGCAGAGCACTAATTCCGAGTATGGGTTACCATACTTGGCCACATGTCACGTCACTCACTAACTCAACCCTGTTCTTCCGTCAAGTTTCAAAATAACTCGTACGTCACAGTCTGTGCAGGCAGGCTGGCAGCTGTCCGCTGCCATCCTCTCAAATTACGACAGAGTCCGAGAAGAAAAACAAGAGGTTTTCATATGATCATAGATATAGATATTCTACTGCCTGCAACATGAGAACCAGGTATAGCTATGTTTTAAGTTATGTGAATTTTTTACATTACATTTACATTATTACTTTATTGCTTTTGTTGTTTGTTCATTTGAATACTTTGTTTGAACACCAAAAACAAAAATATCTGCTTGCTTTAAGCATTTCTAATTTAGAGTGCCCTTCTGTGACTGTCCCATTGGAAGTGTGCTAGTGTGCTATATACTGTAGGAGAGCTTGGACGGTTGCAAAACTCTTTTTCGCAATTCCTTCAATTTCTTAGAGACTGTTTGTATTAGAAAGCCAAAATTTGAATAGGCCACATCTGTCTGCTACTCACCCATACTCCTGTAACATGTAAATATCATAATACAATTTATTCTTGAATAGACAAAGTCAAATGTTGCAACTGACCCCAAAAGAGTGGACGGTTCCAACATTCATTAAAATGTAATTAAAATCATCCTTAAATATAATTTTGCCATTTCTTTACTTTATTTGTGCACAGACTTCAATACGTTAAACTGTCTGTATAAAAATTTTTATTTAATCAAAATCAAGAGACTGAAATTGAATGGTTGTCTACTTCTATTAACCTCTGTGAAAGTTTACTGAACTGGGGCCAGATGCATAAACATAGCCACTATGTGAAGACAGTGTCTTAAAGAGGGATAGTTCACCCAAAAATGAAAATTACCCCATAATTTATTCACTCTCAAGCCATAGGTATATAATACTTTCTTCTTTCAGATGAATACAATGTTATTTTATATAAAAAAAATATGTCCTGGCTCTTCCAGGCTTTATAATGGCAGTGAATGGGTGATATTCAAAAAGTGCTCCACTTGGCTCCAGGGGGTTAATAAAGGCCTCCTGAAGTGAATCAATGTGTTTTTGTAAGAATAAAATATCCATATTTAAAGGGGACCTATTATGCATAAATTACTTTTATAAGGTGTTTGAATACAGTTGTGTGGCTGCAGTGTGTGAAAACAACCAGCCTATAATGGTAAAAATCCACCCACTCATTCTTTTATAATCCCAATAAATCATAAACAGTCTCTCCAAACATGCTGTTCCAGATTTCTCCCTACGTACACATCATCGTAGGGAGAAATCCCGCTCATTTGTGATGATCTCTGCACTATTAGCATAGACACAGCCCTGAGTGAGAAGCAGCAGTCCGCCATTACTGTTTTCTTGCTGTAGCTGCTGGAGATATACAATGTCAGCACCAAAGAGGCATTACAAGTGTTGTGTTTTGGGATGCACCAACGAATGAGTCTCCATAGACTCCCTCCATCTGAGGGAGGACACTGTGGTTAAATTTCATTTTCGTTAAATTTCATTTTCAAGGAAATGTCCTGGAAAAAATCGGTAAAGTTTCTAGAGTCTCTCCTTCATTGTCTGATTCCGGTTCGAACATATAAGGCTGAACTAGGGCTGGATATATCACAATATATTTCTTAATTTTGGTCGATACAATATAATCCCAATATCGATATGAACAATATAAAAAAAAGCCACAGAAAAACTGCCAAGAATGCCCAGAACAGATGTCTGTACCTACAAACCTCTGAAAAATGAATTTGCCAAGTCAATGAAACCTCATCCTATAAAACTATATTTTAGAAATAAAAACGTTACAAGTAATGTTCACCTTTTATTTGTATTTAGCCTTCATACAAACAAATGTGAAATCCCCATCAAATAAACATAAGACTCTCAGACTCACCTTATTATTATTAATATGTTTAACTTTAAACTATAACATAGGATGATTATTCTTATAGATTGAAACAAAAATGCTTCAGCCAGGATAAAGAATATGAGAAGTGCTCAGAGTTGCTGCAGAAATCAGAAAAAAGAGTGAGCAACAACAAAAACACAAGTTGCTGGAGACGGGCTTCTTGAAAATGCAAATTCATTCTCTGCCAGCAGGAGGCGCTTTTGGAGCGGCAGAAACAGAGTTTTCCCCAGTAATGGCTGTACACAAAGCAGCGCTCCACTCATGAATGCTTCAGATAAAGTGAAAATTACATCGAAACTTTTCTGAAGACAGTCGTTTCCCTTCAAAGATACATTCATATAAAACACCCGTGCCACATTTTTATTTTGAAACATGCAGTGATCTGTTTATTCAACGAAGTCAACCACCACAAATAAGTCAATGTATGGCAAACACTGGTAATGTATATTGCAATATCGGAAATGTGTTTAAAAATCATATCACCATTATTGAAAAAAATTATATCATGATATCATATATATACGGTATATATATATATATATATATATAGCCTTTTGATATTGAATTATTGTCCAGTCCTAGGCTGAACACCGCTACTGAGAGTTTCTGACATTTTCAGTGAATGAGATTGTCCTGTTTTGTTGTTGCCGGTATGCTGGAGCGTGAGCTCTTGAAGCTCCGCCCTCTTCTGAAAAGGGGGCCGGGAGCACCAGCTCATTTGTATTTCAAATAGGGGTGTGCGATATGACAATTTTTGATCATGGACGATTAAAATGTCTCCATGATCTGCTTTTGAAGAAATATCGTAGTATCGTGCTACAGCGCACAGTTCTGTCGCCTCCTTCTCAATATACTGTACAATGTGATATACATTCACATCAAATGTCAACTCAGCGGTAGAGTTACACTCACGGGACACACTGCACTTGTTCGCAATCTCTAAAGTACATTATCTGCATGTGTTTTAAAGCCTTGCCGGTTAAACATTTCATTCGCATACTGTTCTGACGTGAGCTGTTTCTGAGCGCGTACACCTGAAGTGATACATCAGTCAAAAACACTAATACTGTCAAAAACACAATGTTTACATGAAAGTAAACTGTTGAGAGAAAAACGGATGCTTGCCTGTATATTAGATGTGTGCAGATCTTAAAGCGACAGTACTAAACAAACTGCTGCTTGTCATAAGGGCCTTTCGCACCGCAGGAACCTTTTCATAGTACCAGAACTAATTGTGGAACTACCCACTTTTTGGCGTTTTCGTACCGCCGGAACTGGGAGCGATTTTAGAACAGTGATAAATGGACGGACACTGAAGTGCAGGCACTTGTAGCAAATGTAGCACTGCCAGTTGTCGTTGGAGATTCTTAGTCCTCCGTTCCATTCTTTCAGTCGCTTTACGTATACGTCGACTTTCAATGTCCATTATTGTGAAACCTGCGAGACACAACAAAAACATAGCTCCGATCACAGCGTCCTCCTCTGGTTAATGTTGTTTTTCTTTGTTTTCGTTGTTGAACGCCGCACACAAATGACGTCGCTGTCGACCGGTTCCTAGTACGTACGAATGCAACCCTTTAAATGGTACTGGGAAATAGTTCGCGCAAAATCGTCCCAGTACTTTAGTACTATCCATTTAGTTCTGGAACTAAAGCGGTGCGAAAGGCCCTATTAAAGGGATAGTTCACCCAAAAATGACAATTCTGTCATTATTTACTTACTCCCATGTTGTCCCAAACCTGTATTAATTTGTTTCTTGTGCTGAACACAAAAGAAGATATTTTGAAGAATGTGGGTAACCAAACAGTTGCTGGTCCTATAGTCTGACTTTGATAGTAGGAAAAACTGTCTGGGGACCAACAACTGTTTGGTTACATATATTCCTCAAAATAACGTTTATGTTCAACAGAAGAAAGGTTCGGGTTTAAGATAACTTGAGAGTGAGTAAATGATAACAGGTTTTTCATTTTTGGGTGAACTAACCCTTTAAAGGGGTCCTATATTATGCTCTTTTACAAAGTCTTGATTTTGTTTTGGGGGTGCACTAGAACAGGCTATCATACTAGGTTGTTCGAAAAACACATTATTTTTCACATATTTTACATTATTACAACACCTCTCTCCCCAGTCTGGCATGAACGGCTCGAATAGTTCCAGATCTTTTTTATGCTCAAACAGCAACATTACAGACTAACTAAAGTTGAAAAGGTGAAAAAGCATAATAGCACCCCTTTAATAAAACAACAAAACACAAAGAGAGAAATCACTCACTATTCTTGACTGAAAAACTTTAATACAGTTGCTTTAATAGGAATCAATCTATATAGTGTTTTATTTTTATATTT